GCCCAAACCAGTTTCAGAGTCTTCTATCCTGGAGAGTAATTCAATTATCTCCCAGGATAGACACAAGACTCCATTAAGCACATGGTTGCAAAAAGACACAAAACACTTTAAAATACATAAAGTCACATTTACACATAACACACAGACATTTCACATATCCCCAGATAGCTGGGATCTGAGTGCACATTATTAGATGAATGGCACTCAGATCACACAAATAAGCCTTTCTGCAGGGGAAATAAACGGTTTAACCTGCAGGGCCATAGTCCAAAGGGAGCAGGCGAGCAACCAGGCTTCTCCAGTTCACAGTGGCGAGGTTGGTTTCGCCACACTCCCCCTCCCTGGGGTCCCAGCACGGGAAGGGACTCTGTTCCCTTTGTCCCCAAAGCCCGCCACTAAATCCACAGGGTTCCCCACACCAACCGCCAGGGGTCTTCTTCCCAAATGTCTCTGTGCCTGGCAGTCTAGGTGCGGGGAAAAGGGACCATCCCTTTGTCTCCCAGGCACAGAAAAGCCCACCTGCGGAAAAAGAGCTGATCTCTTTGTCCCTCAGGCTCATGACAGCCCGCCAAACTCGCCAGTGCCCCAAAAGTGCCCACACCAATCTTAGGGATCCTTTCCTCGGTCCCTCGATCGACTAATCTCTGTTCGTGGGGTGAAACCCAGACAAGGGAAGTGTCTCCTTTCAGGGTATGAATTCTCCCCCTGGCTGCTGTTTGTCTGTACAAATGGCGGCCACCCAGGGAAGCACTCATTAATTACTTCTGTAACGGCACCCCCAGGCATAAAAGGGTTAAACCGCCGTTTAGTAGATCTTCCCTTCCAGAGACACAGGCACAGCTACTGCAGAACACCAATCCGCCGAACACGAAACCATAAGAATGCCGTAAACATTCGAATAGGAAAAAACCATACGAATAGGTGTACACTCCTAGCAGTCAAACTGGAACAGCATACAATAAATCCCCCCAAGAACGAGACAAGGCCCTGTTTTGAGGGTTAAGCAGTGAACAGACAGAGCTGTGGGTTTATTGTTCTTATATACACATTAGTGCCACCCACAGGGTTTTGGAACACAACCAATAAACACATACAAAGACACTCCCACACAAAATCCTCCCCTCTGCCTGTGACACAATTACCTTACACAATGGGTAATGTAATTATCACAAGCAGAGAAATAAAATTTTTCCACATTATTCATAACTTGAAAAGTATGCATCACATTCACATAAAACTTACATTTTCAGCATACTCCAAATACAAACATATGTCAAAATCATACAAATTGGTCCAGTGGTTCAAAAGATAGATCAAAGTCCTTTGTGACCAAATGAAGCATGGCTTTTCTGCCCAAAACCAGTTCCACAGAGTCTTCTATCCTGGAGATAATTGGGAAGTAATCCAATTATCTCCAGGACAGAGGCAAAACTCCATTGAACACATGGCAGCAAAAGACAATAAAACACATAAAAACATATAACTGTGCAGCCATTGCACAAAACAGGTACATTCAACATATCCCCAGATAGCTAAGATCTGAGCTCACATTATTACTGAATGGCGCTCAGAGCACACACATACAGTTCAATTGCCATGGAGCCAAAGTCTTTCCCATAGTCTTTCATTATACGAATGGGCTCCATGGCATAGCTATCTGGGGTATCACCGCTCAAACAGGGCAAGCACCGAATGACCCGGCTTTCATGTCTTCGCAGGGGAAAATCAAGCGTTTCAACATGGGGCCATAGTCTAAAGGCAGCAGTTGGGCAACCAGGCTCCTCCAATGAACAGTGGCGAGATTGGTCTCGTCACAACTTCCCTTGCGGTTTCGAGTGCGAATGTTCTGATTAATTGGTGTGAACATTTTAAAGGGGCCCCGGGGAGGTCCTCACTCGGGAGATGAACGAGGCGCGAAACAATCCACGAATGCTTCCCCTGATGGTGTTCGCCTGTATGAATGGTGGCCCAGGGAAGCACTCATTAATTGCTTCCCTTGCGGTTTGTAGTTTTGATACTTATGTTGCGAGGTATGAACATTCTAACCTAACATTGTAATCTTTCCAATATTCCATTTCCTCTATCTGACCACCATATGCTGACTTTTGACATCGGCATACCTAAGGCCCAACTGACACCACCTTCTGAACATCAATCTCACAAAAACCTCCAATGTCTTGACCTAGAGCATTTCTCCACTAATCTCCAAACTCTCCTTTTACCTATCTCAAACCTCACCTGTCCTAGTTTAGCAACCTCCTTTTACAATTCCACCCTCTCCTCTTCATGCCACCTCCTACATTTAAACGCAGCAGGCGCCCCCAACAACAACCCTGTCACACCAAGCTGACTCGATCCCTCCAAAAATGCTCCAGAACTGCTGAACACTGTTGGAGAAAGTCTCACTGTGCGTCTGACTTTCTCCACTATAAATTTTTGCTGCCCTCATACAGCTCGACTCTTTCCTCTGCAAAAATAAATTACTTCAATAACTTCATAACCACACTCTCCCACGAACCCAGATGACCATTTCACACATTTAACTCTCTTCTTTGCCCTATTGTTCCTCCACCACCTATTAACTTGACCGCTTCAGACTTTGCAACTCACTTCACTGACAAGATCTCTACAATCAGGGAAGAGATCTCTCATCTTTCCCCTTCCCCTTACAATACTTCACCTCTGCTGTTCTATGTTCATTCGCACCCGCTACATTGGAAGAGGTTTCTGCTCTGCTCCAGTCCTCCTGCCCCACCTGCTCCCTAGATCCAATTCCCTCGCATCTCATCCGTACTCTCTTCTTCTCTTTCTCCACCTCTCACTAAAATTCTCACTCTCTCTCTCTCTCCTCTGGCATATTTCCATCGTCCTTCTAGCATGCAACTGTAACCCCAGTTCTAAAGAAGCCCAACCTTGTCCCTAACTCCCCATCCAACTACGATCCTATCTCACTACTGCCTTTTGCATCCAAGATCCTTGAAAGAGTTGTGTATGCAAGATTGATGGACTTCCTCAAGTCTAACTCTCTGCTACACCCGCTTTAGTCTGGTTTCCTCAATAAGCACTCTGTGGAAACGGCACTGACCAAAGTATCCAATGATCTACTCGCTGCAAAATCTCATGGTCACTACTCTATCCTAATTCTCCTTTACCTGTCTTCTTCTCCCCAACTCCTCTCTGTTTGTGTCCCCCAAGGTTCAGTCCTTGGTCCCGTACTGTTCTCTATCTATACTGCCTCCCTTGGTAAACTCATTATCTCATTTGGCTTCCAATATCATTTCTATGTGGATGACACGCAAATCTACCTGTCCTCTCCTGATCTCCCCCCGTCCCTCTTGATTAGTGTCTCTGACTCCCTTTCTGCTATTTCTAACTGGATGGCTGCCCACTTCCTTAAACTCAACTTGACCAAAACTGAAATTCTAGTCTTTCCTCCCTTAAGTGTTGCTACTCCTGTGTCTGTCTACCTGAAAGTCAATGGTGCTACAATCAGCTCCACCACGCAGGCTTGCTGCCTAGGTGTTCTCTTTGACCCCGACCTCTCCTTCACGCCTCATGTTCAGTCTATCGCCAAATCATGTCGTTTCCATCTCAAAAACATTGCGCGCATCCGACCCTACTTAACGCCAGATGCGACTAAGGTGCTGGTCCATTCCACTGTCCTTTCTCGCCTTGACTACTGTAATCTGCTTCTCAGTGGTCTTACGTGCTCCCAACTTGCGCCATTACAGTCCATAATGAATGCGCCGAGAGGCTCATCTTCCTGTCCGCCCGCACCTCCCACGCATCACCTTTCTGTCAGTCCCTACATTGGCTTCCTGTAAGATATAGGGCTCAATTTAAAATTCTGGTTCTTGCTTTCAAATCTCTGCATAATGCTGCTCCCACCTATCTATCCTCACTAATACACAAGTATGTCCCGTCTAGGCCCTTACGCTCTGCTGAAGACTTACGTCTATCTTCTGTCTGTACTCCCACCTCTGATGCTCGCCTTCAAGCCTTTTCCAGGGCTGCACCGTTCCTGTGGAACTCACTACCTTCCTCCGTTAGATGCTCACCCAGTCTCCACTCCTTCAAAAAATCATTAAAAACCCACTTCTTCATAAAAGCGTATCAATTAAACTGTTAATAGCTCCCGACTGATTTCTCTCTTGCAACTGTCATTAGTCTAATACTATCCTTACCTATTTTGTCACTTTACCCCACTCCCTCTAGCATGTAAGCTCATTGAGCAGAGCCCTTAACCCCTCTGTTCCTGTGTGTCCAACTTGTCTGTTTACAACTACATGTCTGTTCGTCCACCCACTGTAAGCGCTACGGAATTTGTCGGCGCTATATAAATAATAACATAATAATAATATATAGGAAATTGAACTTTTTAAGTTTGTAAGAAGTATGAGACTTAAATAATATTTTGATAATCCCTTGATAATCAAAACGGAAACATCTGATGTATCAAGAGAAAATATTTCTCCAAAATCCACCTTTGACAGTCATTCAAGTATACCATCCATTAGAACGTTTTTATCTACAACGCAAAGTGAAGCCAGAGAAATTATGTCACAATGCACAAGAGGGTGACAAAACATTTCCAAATCCCAAATGCAAATTATTAAACAGAAGACACTTCCATAGTCATACGCTCAGCCAACAAAGGAGGAGGATTTATTATCAGTGACAATAAACCTATCCTTATCACTATGAACATCTCTAGTCTCTACACAGTCATCCCTCATGACAAAGGGGTGGAAGCTATGCGGTATGTAATGACACATTCCACAAAAGGTCCACAAGGGTCCCCCTATCGAATTTATCCTGTAACTCTTGACCTTGACTCTTCACAAAAACTATTTTAGATTTGAGGACCAGTGGTACCTCCAAGTAGCTGGCCTTGATGGGTGCTCTACCTTGATAGGTGCTGTAACTGCCCCAATGTATGCAAACACATACATGAAGAGAAATACATTTTGTCAGAATATTGTCATAATATTCAAGGGCTTTGAAGAATTCTCTACCACAAGCGCAGTACATGCGCGTCATTAGGAATAATTCCAATGAAAAAAACATGGAACTTCAGTTGAAGGAAATGACTACAAAATTCTTGGAGAGAGGCTGCAAATATTATGTTTTACAAAAAGCGCTCGAGGAAGCACGAAGTGCCCACTATTGTAAGAAGGAGAATAGCGCGTCAAAATTAGTGTTCCCAATGGAATTCCATCAAACTATCCCACAAATTTCATCTGTAATTCAGCGGAATTTAGACAATGATCTCTAGTGATGACACGTTCCCATAGTTGTTCAAAGAAACTCCACTTCTATGTTACAAAAGAAATAATACCCTGAAAGACCTACTTTTAGATACTGATCCTATCAACAGTTACACGCATAAGATTGGAGCTCAGAATTGAGGTTCAGTGCGACGTCTAGGATGTGTAAAATGCAGTCATATGTTACCTGCCCGGTCGTTCAATCACCCTCATACCAATAAAAAAGTATTTGATCAGATACACCATCACGAGTAGGAACACTTATGTGGTATATAAACTGACCTGTCCCTGCGGACTTTCCTACATTGGAAAGACAGAAACAGCCATGTCGGAACGAATCATGGGACATAGGTCTAGTATTAGATTAGCCTACAGGGATGGAACTTCCGGTAGCGAAGCATTTGTTACAACTTGGCCATCCGTTATCATAAAGTTCGTCGGTATTGACCATATACCATTACCGAAAAAAGGGGGATATGGTGGTAAAATGCTCTTGAATAAAGAGGCTTCCTGGATATATGAACTTGGCACCATGACCCAAAAAGGACTCGATAAATCAATCCCTTACTACTCTTTCTTGTAAAAAACCCTTTATGCATATTTGAATTTTGCTTGCAATAGTTTTTTCTTTTTAACTTTAGTGGATACGGTGAATATTGCAGATTTTCTACTGAAAGTCAGCTGGTGGCAGGTGTGACAATATAAGATGTTCTTACACAAGTATTTATAGATTCAAGCTCTGTACCCCTTTCAGGGGCTGTGCGTTGATCCATCTAATAGAGCCATAAGATTATGGCAAATACCACACCAGCAGCAGTTTTGTTACCTTTAGCCAAGTATGTTTTAACTCTTAAAAATCATATGGAGCATATTTTATATATAGTATTGTTTGATGTACAGTATCAGCACTGGCCACTTTATTGGAAATGGAAAGCACTTTATTAAGCTGGAACTTACATGTGTATAGCTTACCATAGCTTATTATAAGTACTCAAGCGATTTATTTCGTTTGGCTATCATCAGCACTTTAAAACTAGCACTTTAATCTGTTTTATGCACTTTAATACAATACTACTATCCACTTCAGTCACTTTGATCTTTTTACTATCCTTAACCACAGTCTACACTTAATTTTACTATTGTTTTACGGGGGCTCAAATTCCTCCTCCCATTTCTTGTACGCACCATAGTCACCATGGCAGTGGTTTTTCAGTATACCACGTTGCCACGGTGGCCGCAATTACGTTCTTAAGGCACCAGGTCACGCTAAGTGGTGGAGCACGTATGCGCATGCACCCGGGACCCATTGGTACGCCACCGGAGATGCACAGCACCTGTGCTGAGTCTATTTTGCACTTAATGTCTACCTATATATTTGAGCATTGTTGTATTTTATTTCTGTGTTTGATCCTGAAGAAAGTTCGAACATAGGACTGAAAATTGATAACTAAAGAATTAAAAGAAAAAAAAGATTCTTGAAAGCTTAAAAACAGTGGCATAGTTTTAAACCTTACCTATCCCTATTAAACGCAAATTTCTAAACCTTACAATCGGCAGTGGAGGGGCATAATATTCCGATGTTTCTATCCTAGCTTACAGCTTTGATTGTCTTACCTTTACAAATTTTACACATTTAGGTGATAGGAAGGATCCCACTCTATTCAAGCAGTTCCAAAAGAGACGCAGAGGGTATAGACAGAGAGATGTAATGTGTATCTACAGGCCTAGGTGCCCTTGAAGGCACAGATCTGGGATTTTCTGATCGTACGGACATGTTATTTTTCTAACGGCGTCAAACATTTAGCTTCAGTCTGATACTTGTGCTAACACTGGAATAGTTCTGATGCCCCCAGGATATATACCTCAATCATATTAGCTTTCATTATATTTTTTTCCAACAGCAATATCATTTCAGCTGAATTTAGACATATGGTTTTGGCTAACGTTTGCAGCCCAGGTGCTCTGGAAGGCACAGATCAGTTCCTCTCAGTGTGTGCTGAAATCTCTTGTTTTGGTTAGACACTTATCTAGCTCTAATGCAATACAGTTACATTATTTAATGTGAGACGGATATTCCAAGCGACTCAGTTTGCAGCAGCACGATTTGGAGTCTCCTTTTACCCCCAATAACTGTTCAGTATAAATTCCTCTATGTAGTAAATGGCTAAAGGGATACTAATCAAATCATAGCCATTTAGAGGATTTATTTCTGCATACAGTGACTGTATCTACCTCTATACCTCCTCCCATGCAGGTGCATTGAGACAGTGCTTCAGAGGTTAACGGATACTCTCCATCTTTGTACAGATATTTTGTGCTTATATTTGTACTTTCAGTTTTAGTGAGAATGTGCTCATTAGTCATTTAGATCTCCCCGTCACTGATTTGAATCATTTACTATTAAAACTTGACTTTTATCCGCGTCTCATTTACTTTTTGGTGTGGGCAAACCCCCTTTTTCTCTTTAGTTCTTCATTGCACATGTGTCTCACCAAACAAAATCGGCCCTTAGATCCCTTAAAGGGACAATATAGTCACCAGAACTACAGCTTAATGTACAGTATACATCTTAATGTACAGTATACAGCTTAATGTACGGTATACAGCTTAATATACGGTATACAGCTTAATGTACAGTATACAGCTTAATGTACGGTATACATCTTAATGTACAGTATACAGCTTAATGTACGGTATACAGCTTAATGTACGGTATACAGCGTAATGCACAGGATACAGCTTAATGTACGGTATACAGCTTAATGAACGCTATACAGCTTAATGTACGGTATACAGCTTAATATACGGTATACAGCTTAATGTACGGTATACAGCTTAATGTACAGGATACAGCTTAATGTATAATATACAGCTTAATGTACAGGATACAGCTTAATGTACGGTATACAGCTTAATGTACAGTATACAGCTTAATGTACAGGATACAGCTTAATGTACGGTATACAGCTTAATGTACAGGATACAGCTTAATGTATAATATACAGCTTATTGTACAGGATACAGCTTAATGTACGGTATACAGCTTAATGTACAGTATACAGCTTAATGTACAGGATACAGCTTAATGTACGGTATACAGCTTAATGTACAGTATACAGCTTAATGTACGGTATACAGCGTAATGTACGGTATACAGCTTAATGTACGGTATACAGCGTAATGCACAGGATACAGCTTAATGTACGGTATACAGCTTAATGAACGCTATACAGCTTAATGTACAGTATACAGTTTAATGTACAGGATACAGCTTAATGTACGGTATACAGCTTAATGTACAGTATACAGCTTAATGTACGGTATACAGCGTAATGTACGGTATACAGCGTAATGCACAGGATACAGCTTAATGTACGGTATACAGCTTAATGTACAGGATACAGCTTAATGTATAATATACAGCTTAATGTACAGGATACAGCTTAATGTACGGTATACAGCTTAATGTACAGGATACAGCTTAATGTATAATATACAGCTTATTGTACAGGATACAGCTTAATGTACGGTATACAGCTTAATGTACAGTATACAGCTTAATGTACAGGATACAGCTTAATGTACGGTATACAGCTAAATGTACAGGATACAGCTTAATGTACGGTATACAGCTTAATGTACAGGATACCGCTTAATGTACGGTATACAGCTTAATGTACAGGATACAGCTTAATGTACGGTATACAGCTTAATGTACAGTATACAGCTTAATGTACAGGATACAGCTTAATGTACGGTATACAGCTAAATGTACAGGATACAGCTTAATGTACGGTATACAGCTTAATGTACAGGATACAGCTTAATGTACGGTATACAGCTAAATGTACGGTATACATCTTAATGTACGGTATACAGCTTAATGTAGAGGATACAGCTTAATGTACGGTATACAGCTTAATGTACGGTGTACAGCTTATTGTACAGTATACAGCTTAATGTACAGGATACAGCTTAATGTACGGTATACAGCTTAATGTACAGGATACAGCTTAATGTATGGTATACAGCTTAAAGTACAGGATACAGCTTAATGTACGGTATACAGCTTAATGTACAGGATACAGCTTATTGTACAGGATACAGCTTAATGTACGGTATACAGCTTAATGTACAGTATACAGCTTAATGTACAGGATACAGCTTAATGTACGGTATACAGCTAAATGTACAGGATACAGCTTAATGTACGGTATACAGCTTAATGTACAGGATACAGCTTAATGTACGGTATGCAGCATAGTGTACGGTATACAGCTTAATGTACAGGATACAGCTTAATGTACGGTATGCAGCTTAGTGTACGGTATACAGCTTAATGTACAGGATACAGCTTAATGTACGGTATACAGCTTAATGTACGGTGTACAGCTTATTGTACAGTATACAGCTTAATGTACGGTATACAGCTTAATGTACAGGATACAGCTTAATGTACGGTATACAGCTAAATGTACAGGATACAGCTTAATGTACGGTATACAGCTTAATGTACAGGATACAGCTTAATGTACGGTATACAGCTTAATGTACGGTGTACAGCTTATTGTACAGTATATAGCTTAATGTACAGGATACAGCTTAATGTACGGTATACAGCTTAATGTACGGTATACAGCTTAATGTATGGTATACAGCTTAAAGTACAGGATACAGCTTAATGTACGGTATACAGCTTAATGTACAGGATACAGCTTATTGTACAGGATACAGCTTAATGTACGGTATACAGCTTAATGTACAGGATACAGCTTAATGTATGGTAAACAGCTTAACCCATTAAGGACACATGACATGTGTGACATGTCATGATTCCCTTTTATTCCAGAAGTTTGGTCCTTAAGGGGTTAATGTACGGTATACAGCTTAATGTAGTTGTTCTGGTGAGTATAATGTCTCCATTCAGGCATTTTCATGTAAACACTGCCTTTTCAGAGAAAAGGCAGTGTTTACATTGCCCCTAGGGACATCTCCAAGTGGCAATCACTCAGATGGCCACTGGAGGTGCTTCCTGGCTCAGTGCTGCACAATAAGCAGCCCTGACGTTCAGCATCCCCACACTCTGCATGGAGACGCTAAATTTTCCTCATAGAGACACATTGATTCAATGCATCTCTATGAGGAGGTCCTGATTGGCCAAAATGGTATTTGGCCCTGCCCTCGTGCTGATTTTAGCCAATCCAATGCTTTTTATGGGAAAGTGTGGGGATATTTATGGGATAATAATAGTAACTGTGAGAATTGCCCACTAATTCAATTCTCAGATCCCAAAGAACGTTTATCGTGTTAAGTGGAATGTATTTCATATAATTAATATCACAATGTATAAAAATAGATTTTATTTATGATAACCAATAATTAACAAATAATATTATGTAACATGCATGACAATAATCAATGAATATCCAGTATAAAATGGTATGCAATACAAAGAAATGGGTATTACGTTTCAATGGCTAAACGGCATTATCTGTCAAGACTTCTACGATTTATGACTAGCTTTCACAGACTTAAAGTGAAACTTTTCACAGCGAAGAACAGAATTCCTCAGAGTGCAACGTTAGGTCGTAAAGTTTAGCCGACAGTTAGAATAACCCTTTCAATGCTGGCTAGATCTCCTAGGTAGTTAAGATCTATTCTTATGTAATTTTTAAATAAAATAACATTTAAACCAGTTCACTAGTCATTTCTTAAAATCATCCAATAAGAGAATTTACCATATTATATAAGCAGATTTTTAATTTGTCTAAAAGATATCTATCTTAATTTAGAGCAAATCAATACACCTGGATAAAAACAGCGGTATGCTAACACGTGATAATATCACATCCATATACAATTATTCTTAATTCCACCTGCAGAATGGAATATTTATAACTATATATTCTTAGTTAACTAAGATTTCTTAATATGGAAATCTGACCGTGCTTTATCCAGTCATATATAATGCTATAAATACATTTTAATTAATTTAATTTAATTAAATGAAACCAGTATAATTACCAGTTGAGTAGATATTTCATCCGATTGGTAGTCTCTCTGCATGGAGGTGTTGGTTAGAAAGTCAGTAAATTCTAAGTGTTAGAGTTTTAGGAGTAGAGTGTTAGTCTCAGATGTTGTCCGAGTTGGAGTTCCCAAACTTCCAATTCCTCTCTCCTCTCCTTTGCATCTCTTGCATATCTTGCCTCCCTCTCTCGTATATCTCTCTTCCCTTTGTCTTAACTTTTAAAGGGCCAGACTCTCTGTACGTCATCAGTTGATAACCCAATAGAAGCACTAGAGGTGTGTTTATCTTCCAGATCGCAAATTAGTTATTTGGTCTGTAGAGGGCAGTCTTGTCCCACTAAACATACCTATCCAGGAAAGAGTTAACTTTTCCTGGTGGCTATTTTGACGTCATTTTGCTTATCTCAAATGACCACTATAACTTACGTATCCTTCAAAGATCAAAGGGTTTCTTAAATTTTGTCCAGACTATGTGTCTGGTAAATCTGCTTAATTTCTGATATGGCAGATCATCAACTAAGTTTACCCTTTTCCATACAATGGTACCTTATATATATAGACAGTTAAATATTAAATTTAATCTTCTCTGTCACAATTGTCTGGGTTTAGATTTGATTATATTCTTCTTATCACTTGTTTATACTATGCTATGCATTCCTTAGCTCTGGCAAAGAGGCCAGTCTTACAGAAAGAAATCCTGTGTCTCTTTGTTAAGTTGGAATAACAAAATGGAGTCTGGTCTGTTCAGAGTGACTCAGAATATACACTTTTAGTTTCTATCATAGCACAAAATGTCTGCCGATATAAATACTCTGACATAACCCCCCTTTAGTGCATTTCATAGCCAAAATTAATTTAGCTTATGAATAAGCACTATAGAAGTTACCAGACATATTGTGCAATCACATAATTTCTAACATAGTACATTATTTTCATTTGAAAAATGTCTTTGGGAGTTACATATGGTATGGCCAATAAAAAGCAAATCTCCATACGTTCCGGATCAATTAAGAGAGGTATAGCGCTCCCCATCTCAAAGGCCAGATTTAATTGCATAGGCTCAATTGTCTCTCCATCCACATTGGCAAGCATCGCATGAACAATATCCTTGGATACAAAATACAGAGGTATGCGTCCCCCTGCCAATTCGATCATTCCAGTTTGCACTTCGTCAAGAAAAGCAAGTGTGTGGAACAATATTGGGTCATGCAGAAATAGAAGTTCACGCTTAAATAAGTCATGACTTTGGTGCAACTCAGTGGATTTGGCAATTAACTCCGAATGCAAATTTGTTGTAACGACTGTGTCTTCCACAATAGTTAACACGTCTTGGAGAAGTGTTCTTTGCTGGTTTATCACCTGATGAATATCGTTAATGTGTTGCTTTAGCGCATAGATTTCCATATCCAGCTTTTGGACAGTAATAGAGTTGGCTGCAGACATTCCAGTTGCGACAACTGCACCGACAGTGGCACAAACTAATGCAACAATTATAGCGGTGAGGAACCTTTTGGGTCGGTTGCTCATCGGAATAGAACTGGATACAAATGGTTTCCGGGCTTGCTCCAAGATGTTTCGCACACGGTCCTGTGCTCTTTGGAGGTGCATCTGGTACCAAGTCTGTAACTCAGGAAGCTGCATCGATGAAATGTTGTATGCCTTCTCGATGGAAATCTTGGGGTCCAAGCTGACGAACACACGTCGGGTCAGGATCCTCTTCTCCGTTAAGATGAACCCTGGTGTCTCTTGAATCAGGATGCCGGAGGATGGTCCCATCTCTGCGATCGGGTCGGTCCGTAGCTCTTGGCACAGGAGCAGTACGATCCAGAAACACGCCACATCCTTCTTGGACATCTTTCGACAGTCACGGATCAGGAACTCGTTTCAGACTTATCTACTAATGATTCAAGGTTTGTTAAGCATACAAACTTATAACAGTGTGACATCACTTGGCCTAGGATAACACATTATTACGATTCATCAACATATGTATTCTGTCTAATTCTATTTTTATAACTTCATCCCTCACTACATTTATTACTGACTCTTCAGCAATTGCCTATAGCAGTTAAACAAGCTAGTAACCTGCTTATAAAATGTAGTTATTGGATGGCAAGGAAATGGTTAATGACATGAACGTACATGAGATCATGGCACATCACAACATTTCACATCATACTATACCACGTGAATCAAGCATTCATCCAGGTTAGTCGTTCACCCTTCTGCGTCTGAATCCACACCTATAATCCTTAATTGAGATTTAGGATGACAAGCACGCAACTGGTTAATGTGAACCCACTTTTCAATAAAATCACCATCCTTAGGAATTTTTATCTTGTACGCTACTGGGGAAATTTTGTCAATGATGACATATGGCCCTTTCCAAGAAGGTAAAAATTTCTTTTCCTTTACTTGATTTCGCGCAAAGTTATACAGATAGACTTGATCTGTTATCTCATATTCCTTTTTCGTGGTTTTTAGATCGTAATAGGTCTTAACCCCTGTCGCTGCTTTTTCTAGATTCTTTTGGGCAAAAGCAAACGCATGCTGTAAATGCTTGCGCAAATCTTCGATATACTGATGCGTAGTGGCAGCATTGATCAAGTTATGATCTGAAGTACGATATAGTAAATGCTGTGGTAAAACCATCTTTCTTCCTGTCATCAATTCAAAAGGTGACAATTTGGTAGCAGTGCTAGGTGTAGCTCTAATCGCCATTAAAACTAGGGGCAATTTAATGTCCCAGTCTTTACCAGACTCCTTAACATATTTCTTCAGAATATTAACGATAGACTGGTTATATCGCTCTACCCCCCCGCTAGACGCAGCGCGGTATGCAATATGTAGCTTTCGCTTAACACCTAGAATGTTCCACATCTTAGCCATTACTTCGCTGGTAAAATGACTACCTCTGTCTGACTCAATTCTTTGAGGCAGACCGAACCTGGAAAAGACATGGTTAATCAACAAAGTGGCGCACACGGTACTCGTGTTCTCTTTACAAGGCAAACATTCTATCCACTTTGTGTACATACATGTAACGGTTAACATGTATTTGTTACCTCTTGAAGATCTTGTTACAGGACCTATAAAGTCAATTTGAATATCAGACCAGGGTAATGACACCCCCCTCTTCTGAAGTGGTGCACGATGGGTTGGACCATGGGGTTGATATTGCGGACAAATCAAGCATCCCTGACAGTATGTCTTAACATCCCTTAACATGTGTGGCCAATATGCATAATCACGCAATATCTCATATGTGATCTTATCACCACGATGCCCAGATGTAGGTGCATCATGTGCGTGTTGGAGCATTAACCCTCTGTATACAGTTGGGACTACCCATTGTTGTATACCATGTTTAGAAGTTCTGACCAGTAACCCATCCATGATACTAAATTGGACTTTATATCTCATCAAGATTCGTAAATCTTCATTATCTTTGCAATCCTCATCTGTGATGGGATTGTCAGTAGGGTCTTCTATATGTCTATAGAATATGCCTATGACGGGATCGTTCTTTTGACTAGTAATCAGGTCCTCACTAGGAGCTTCTTGACTCCATTGCACGACATTTAAGTCGACATCATCTCTAGCCTGTCGTCTTGTTATGGCTTCAACATGAATTGAACCCATAAGATCATCAATGTTTAGGGTTTCACCATTGATGGCAGCTTGTTTTGCCAGTGAATCAGCTAAATCATTACCATCCTTGTCAATACCTTCTATTTTAGAATGGCCTTTGGTTTTCTTCCAATATATGGATAAACCATTTTCCTTAACCAACTCATCGATTTTACAAAACAATTTCCCATGTTTAACAGGTTTGTTATTGCTTTTCAGCATTTGGTTACGTTTCCAGCTAGGCAGATATTCGACGAAACTGTTGCGAACATAGTTGGAATCAGTTATAATAACGAATTCTTTGATACCATATTCTATTGCCATTTGAATGGTCTTATATACTGCACAGAGTTCGGCTATCTGACTGCTTTTGGGACCAATATTGTATCCTATAGATACATTGGGATAATCACCTGTCCAGGCGATTCCGATACCTGCAACTAACTTCCGTTCAGCACCAACGACGTGGTGATATGAACAACCATCAATGTATACCCACGGTAGTGGTCGACAGTATTCCTCGTCATAAACTTTATAAGGAGATAGCAATTGCTCTTCTAGGAAGTCATCTCCGGTGTCATTATCATCCAGAGATGGAGCAGTACAGTCATGTAATTCTGCTAAACCTTGGGCAACTGGGCTTCTCTTATTATGTTTATAACGGACTTCTAACGGCCATCCCTGTAAGGATAGAGTCCATGCAGTAATCCGACTGTTAGAGAGATTACCGTCTCTAATTCTTTCACTCTGCAGATACTGTAGAGGTTGGTGAGCTGTTTCTACAATTATTTTCTCACCTTGGATATAGCTACGAAAATTTTGTAGTGCCCAGACAGTCGACAATAACGCCTTCTCACACGTGTTGAATTTAACTTCAACAGGTGACAAAGTCTTGCTAGCATATGCAATAACTTTGTTTAAACTGTCCTGCTTCTGATACAGAACAGCACTGATGCTTAAATCGGTATATCCTGTCTCCAGATAGAAAGGTTTACCCCCCTCTGGGTATGCTAAACAGGGTGCCTGAGTGAGCTTCCTCCTCAGTTCACTTACCGCCTGGTCCTGAGGCTCCCCCCAGTTCCAGGTAGTTTCCTTTTTAAGCAGGTGTAAGAGTGGCTTTGTTATTTCTGCATAGTTATCTATAAACTTACGGGAGTAGTTAGTCATACCAAGGAACGATCTTAATTCCCTGATGTTTGAAGGTGTTTTAGCCTTTAGTACGGCTTCAACCTTCTTCCTCTGGGATTTAATCCTTCAGAAGTTACCTCATGTCCGAGGAAATTGACATGGGTGCGACACCATTGCGCCTTTTGTAAAGACAGTTTAATCCCTGCCTCTCTTAACTGAGTGAGAACATGTCTAATCTCTAAGATATGCTTATCAAAGGAAGTGCTTTTCAGCAAGACATCGTCGACATATGATAACGTTCCTCTCTCGAGTGCGTCAGGCATAGCTTTATGCATGAACACAGCGAATTCATGACCAGAGTTTATATAACCGAAAGGCATACGGGTCCAGGTATACTGCTGCTTTCCAAATGTGAAGGCCAATTTGTATTGGTCTTCATTATGGACTGGTACAGTCCAATATCCCTGCGCACAGTCAATGGCAGTGAATATTTTGGATCCCTGCATTTGTACCAAACATTGGTCTATGTATGGTGTTGGCCAACCAGACATATAGACGCGTTTATTTAGCTGTCGTAAGTCAGCGCATAAACGCCATTGTCCATTAGGTTTCAGAATCCCCAAGATTGGATTATTATACGAACTGTGCACTGGACGTATAATGCCCCTTTCCTTTAAATTCTGAATGATGTCTTGTAGACCATCATATGACGCTAATGGGAGTCTATATTGTTTGATAAATACAGGTGGTAAATTTGGATCAGTTTGTATTCTGGCTACGTGGAGGTTAGTTAACCCACAGTCGTAGGAATCTTTGGCAAAAATATCTTGGAATTCCAAAAGGATTTCCTTTAGCTGTTGCCGCTCAGCATCGTTGGAGCAACCGTCAGCTAAAGATATTTGCTCTTCTAGCCTTTCCTGAAATCCTGGAAAGATTTCAGGCTGGCCTATCTCATAAGCTTCTTCAAGCCTAGAAGTTAGGTCAGTTCGGTGTTGACTTACCTTTTCTCTTTGGTCGAGATACTCTTGTGATTCCTGCTCATTGAGCGGATGATCGAAGGTAATTGATGCTTCTTCGATTTTACACGAGCCTTCTTCAACGTTGAAGGGATATACAGATAGGATAGTGAATAATCCTTCTGGGGAGGAATGGAATATTTGATCGACAATTTCGTCCTCAGTTAAGTATTCTTCAGGGATGAGGCCTATAATTTGGTTTTGGAAACCAATTGTATAGTACTCAGCATCCAATGCTAGACCTAACAATGTTCCTTTTGGTAAAGTAACACTATTGGGTGTAACATTGTTGACCATTATATAGGTGGGATTCTTACCAATACTTACCATTGGTGTATGTGTTACCACCATCCCTAATTGTTGTATCCTGTTGGATAAACAGATTAGGGCATCAGAGTTTTCCAATCTCTGACCCTCCTTGACCTGTAGGGGTAAAAGAAAATTACTTGTCCCCTGTGGAATGGTTATGTCATCAGGAACTTGGATACTTACCGCATATGGGAGTATTTGTCCTGATTTCAGGGCGTTTTCCTCGTGTAGGTATCCACAAGGATTACCTTTTAACCTTGTCCACAAGTTGGAATTAATCAGGTCAAGGTGTATGGCAAAGCGATGTATGACATCATTGCCAACGTAAACCTGATAGCGAGGTTCGTCTATCACTAGGAATAAATGTTTGACTGTCTTATTTCCGATGGAAATAGATAGTAAACATTTTGCTATCACATTGTGACTCTCTGATTCGCCATCCAGATTCTGGATCCACCTGTCATGTGGGGAAGCATACCTGATCATTTTAGGATTAGCGATCTGCTTTAACAGACTTCTGCTAATATAGCTGTTCTCACTCTGTAAGTCCAGCTTTGCATTCCTACTTCTTCCTAAGTCATTTATTTGCATAGGAAAGAATAAGTTGTTATTAACCCTTTCAATTCTGGCAAGGAATTGAGCATGACCTGCCAGATCTACAGATTCAACATAGTCCCTGTGGAGAGAAATGGTTAAAACATCACCTTCCAGAGAGACATTCTGGATCCTCTCTGGAGCAATTCTTATGGAATGCTCATCTACAGGTGCGAT